CGGACGGCCCAGGGCGCGGGGCGGGGAGCCGCTCCCCGGGGGAGGCGCAGCGCGCGCTCCCGCCCCAGTCGCACGCGCACCTGGGACAGGGCCTTCCCAGGTAGGGGACTTTGGTTGCTAAGCCCCGCCCCGTTGTCCTGCCCCTCCCCGGCCTCTCCTCCGTGAATGACCGGGAGCGGAGGGCCTCCCCGGCACAAGGGCGGACAGCACTGCGACCCGCAGGGACACTGCCGTGCCAAGGCCCTGAGAAGGTGCGTCAGCCCCAGCGCGAGGGGCCTGGAGACACTGGTGACGGGAGGGACCAGCCCAGGTGCGTGGGGCAGAATTTCAGGTGGTGACTTCGCAAAAGTTTCGAATCTCTCTGCAGGGGACATTTCATTGCTTCCAGCAGGTTCTCAGCTTATCAAGTGCTTGGAGAAACAGTTATTAACAACAGTAACACAAGGACAGTCGTGGTGCCTGCCGGTAATCCCAGCTATTCTGGAGTCAAGAGGCTTGAATCCCAGGCCATTGGGGAGCAAAAATTTCTCAGGCTGTACCTGAAGAAGGAAGGGAAGAAGAGAGGGAGAAAGGGAGGAAGGAAGGCAGAAGAGAGAGAGAGAGAGAGACAGAGACAGAGAGAGACAGAGACAGACAGACAGAGACAGACAGACAGACAGAGACAGAGACACAAAGACAGAGACAGAGACAGGGGGTTGGGGAAGAAAAGAAAGAAAGAAAGAAAGGAAGGAAGGAAGGGAAGAAAGAAAGGAAGAAAAAGAAAGAAAGAAAGAGAAAAGGAGGGCAGGCAAGCAGGTTGGGAGTGTGGCTTATGTAGTGTACTGCCTGTCTGGCCAGAGTAAAGCCCAGAATTCAAACCCAATACCCAAATAACAAAGAATCAAGACTCAAGAACACTTCTTTGACTCCTTGATAGTGAGAGAAAACTACCAGAATTTCAGCTAAGACGAAAACTCAGGAACAACAGCTAGAGAAGGGAAAGTTGTTCCTCTACAGATCACACCTTTAGCAAGTGGAAGTTCCTCTCTAAGAATAATTGGCTCTGGCCTGGACAAGCCTTTCAGGGTCTCAGGTCCCAGATCTCTCAAGGAGGATTAATTTCCCCAATTTATAGGGCCATTGTGCAAATCGAATCAGTCTATGTGAAACACTGCCTGTTTAGCACTAGTGAGTTTAATCAATTGGAGGAGTGGAAGAGCCTCTGTAAATATAGGAGGGTTGGCCAGGTTTTCATTGGATGGACTTCTATTTGCAGTCAGAGTGCCTACCCTTTGCTCTGGGGTTTTCCTACCTCTCCTCCTCCCTTTCCAATTTAGCCAGTTGCAATTGCCTTCTCTTCACTATTTCCTGTCTCTCCAAGAGAGCTAGCTAGCTTTCATTGAGCTTAGAAACCCACTCTCCTATGTTTAGAGATTAGCTGCTGCACCCTCTTCCCCCTATTCTGTGCATTACATACAGTTTGAGAGTTAGCTGGGATGAAGCATCTAAGGGTCTCTGCCTGGTAACAGAAAAGGACAGAATGAAAGGGTATTTCAGAAGACACAGCAGTATACAAGTAGGCAGAGATTAAGCAATAGATGGAGACAAAACAGCCAGAGAGATGGGAATAAACTGGTGAAGGTTTCTGCTTCCCCAACTTACTTGCAATTGTGTTCTTACCATGTCACAGACTCCAGTGCCTTCACATGGTGCCCTGAACGAAGGCAGACAGATGCTCAGTACACGTGGGTACCTGGCTGAATATAGAGGGAAGAATGTCTTTTAGTTTCTTCTCCTTTATCTTAAGCTGAATGTGGGCGGCAGCATACTCTGGCCCTAATTCCATTTCCCACCATGCCAAGAAAACTCCTAATTAAAGAAGGCAAGTTTAAACCACAAGGTGTTCCCAAATCATCCCAGGAAGTTTTTTTTTTTTTTTTTTTTAAATCAGTCCTGCCTAAAAGCAGTGCTTTTGCAATTGAGGCCTGTGGACAAGTATTTCTGCCTCATTATCAAGACTGCGGTTTCTGCTTAGTAATGAAGATAATGATAGCTTCCAGAGGGAGAAATAGCTAATATAAAAAAATTTCTTTTAGCTGGGCGCCAGTGGCTCATGCCTGAAATCCTAGGTACTCAAGAGGCTGAGATCTGAGAACTGCAGATACAAGTCTGTTGGGGCAGAAAAGTCCCTATGAAACATTTTTTTTTGTTTTTGTGTTTGGTAGGTTGTGGGGCCTGAACTCTGGGCCTGGGCGCTGTCCCTCAGCTCTTCAGCTCAATGCTAGCTCTCTACCACAGGAGCCACAGTGCCACTTCTGGCTTTTTCTGCTTATGTGGTGCTGAGGAATCAAACCTAGGGCTTCATGTATACAAGGCAAGAACTCTACTACTGAGCCACCTTCCCAGCCCTGCCATGAAACTCCTATTTCCAATTAACCACAACTCAAAAGCCAGAAGTGGGGCTGTGGCTCCAAGTAGTAGAGCGCTAGCCTTGAGTAAAAAGAGCTCAGAGACAGGGCCCAAATTTTTTTATCTTGTTGGATTATTCACTGTCCCCTGGAGGCTGTCATCTAAAGTTAGTTTCAAGGTAGTATGCCTTCTAAAAGGCATCTATCTCAAGGCATTGAGAGAAGGTGTTAGTATATACACACCATCCAATGCTATGTAAAAATCATTCTTGAACTAATTCTACTTTAAAATTCCAGAGCATGTGACTGAGGAAGTTGAAGGGACTTGTTGAAAATCAGATGACTCACATAGTGCTTTATCTCCTAGACTGTCCTGGGACTCACTATGTAGTAAGGCCTTACTATGTAGGCTGACCTTGAAAACCAAATTTCCCAAGTCAGCTTCCCAAGTGCTGGGATTATAGGTATGAGCCAGCCTGCTCAGCACTTCTGATTTCTTTATACTGAGAGGAGAGTACCATAAATCTCTCTATGCAAAATTAAAATGGATTATTAGCAGTAGAGTACCAAAATTGCTTTAAAATAAGTTGAAGAACTCATAGGATGTAGAAATTTTAACATTCCTTTGTTGAATGTTATGGTAAAATTTTCTTAAGATGCTCAGAAAACACCTAAGATATATTCAACATAACTATCTGAGTAAATATTTTCATAATACTTTACTTCCTGTATGCAGATGAGAATAGGCTTTTCAAGAGATGAGCTCATCCGAATCACCTCTTACTACCATCTAGAAAAAAAGAGTTAAAAATTCATAAATACCAATAAAAATAGTTTTCCCTGTCTACTCACTTATTCCTTACTCCCTACACACTAACATCAGTTATCTTTTTAAAAATCAATTGGCATTTATCAGCTGAAGTTCTGATTAGTTAGCAGACTGTTTAACCCCAGTGAAAATTCTAACAAGTGTTTTGTTAGACTTAGTACTACAGAGGTTGAAAGCTAGGTGTGGTTACTATCTTATCAAAATCCTTTTTTTATTTTATTTTTTCCCATTAAAATTCTTTACAAGCAAGTCCCAGAAATATATGGCTGTTAAAAGATAAAAGAATATTCTAGTCTGGAGGCTCTCATAGATCAATAAAGGGTACAGAGCTGGGAATAAGACAGCAGTGGAAAGCTTGCCCAGTATGCCTAAGGCTCTAGGTTTGAATCCTAGCAGCACGAATATAAATGAAAGAATGAATAAATGAATACATAAATGAAAGAATGTATAGTGCAAAGTCACAGAATAAACTGAAATATCACCAGGTAACAGGAGAAGCACAATACAAGGAAGTATCTATTTTTAGTTTTAGTTCCTCTCACTTATTCAATGTTTTGTCTGTGTTCAAAAAAGAACCATGGTTACTGATCAGTTGTACAACTTATAAAATAATAGAAATGCAGTGGTAGAACTGTGTGCAGGGCACAATATGTCCAGTGAAGCTCTCACTTGAGAGTTTGAAGTTAGAGAAGGCTCCCTGGGAAGTTGTGGTGACTGATTTTGTTGTTGTTGTTGTTATTGTTGGTCCTGGGGTTTGAACTCTGGGCCTGGGCTCTGTCCCTCAGCTCTTCAGCTCAAGGCGAGCGCTCTACCACTTGAGCCACAGCACCACTTCTGGTTTTCTAATGGTTATTGGGGATAAGAGTCTCACAGCGTTTCCTATCCGGGCTGGCTTTGAAGCATGGTCCTCAGATCTCAGCCTCCTGAGTAGCTAGGATTGCAGGCATGAGCCACTGGCACCGGGCTGTGGAGACTGATTTTTAAAGGATGAGTGATTGGTTGTGAGAGACAGCTAGCTTGCCAGGGCAGAGTAACTCAGAGCATAGGTACTGTTGCTCTTCTTGTCACATTGACATAAACAGGATCATCAGTGGTAAAAAAATAAAATAAAATAAAATCAGTGAAAGCACATTGAATTTGAGATTTTAGAATAATACCTAATTAGAAAAGTCTAACAAGTAGTTTGGAATGAAGATAACACAATTGCAAGATAATTTGGGAAGCAGAGTCAGGGACAGAATTTTGTTCCAATCTCTCTGGCTATTATATTTTCATTTATCTCTTACCATCTTCCTACTGGGCAACCTCAGATAGCACAATAATTTTATAGGTACACCAACCTACCCACCCCCCAAAAAGGTAAACATCTCTTCAGAGCAAGCTTCCTCCTTCCTTCTATGCTGAGCTCAGTGAATGGCAGCCAGAAGCCTCGTGTCATCCTCAACCTCCCCTTTCCCCTTCTCTCCATATCCAGTTATTAATCACACCTTCAGTTCCCTGTGGCACTGTTCAATGTGATTCACACTCCTGCATGTAGCTGCAACCTTTGTGGTTTGTGGTAATTCCAGCCAGGTCAACTCCTCCACCCATTGTTCTTTCTCAAGTCTGCTATTTCTGTGCAACCTGAGGCCATCTGATATTTATGGTAGGCTCAGCTCCTAGTATCTAGCACAAGTAGAAGACCAGGAAGGGTTTTCATCTAAGACCATATACTAAATGAACTAATTGTAGGTGAAAAAGTAGTCTTGTAAGGGAAGATTGAAATGTCCACCTGGATGAGTTAGTACCCAACTAATCAGAAAATATTCATTTTGTGTGTGTGTGATATGCTGTGTGTATGCATGTGTACATGCTTGTTCACACAGGCATGAGTGTTTGTGTATGAGTTTTTGTTTTTCTTCAACTTGGCAGCCTAGTAGCAAGACAAGGATAGCAGATGGCAGCTGTAGTCAGGTGGTAGAGAGTCTGATGACAGAAATAGAGAATGTCTAGGAGGGAAAGGAAGAGGATAAACCTGACTAAGTTCAGAGGTCAATTGAGAACAGAGTTCATTACACTGAGTACTAGAGAAAGAACAGGGAACGGGCCTTCCTTCTCTTTAATCCTCTCTCCTCCATCACATGCAGTGGAGGTGAAGGCATTGGTGTCAGATATCAGG